CTCTCTCTGCTCGGTCCACTCGTGGGGTTCTCCATAAGAGAGAGACAAACCGCTCCTCTGACTCGCGGGAGGGAATTCCCGGTCGGGATGTTATTGCTTCCGGACGGCGCGGACAAACATTGAATCCGAACCGAACGGAATCGAACGGAATCGCGCACGAGGCGTTCATAAATACAGAAGAAACGCGAATAAAAAAGAAACACAGAAAAAAGAATAAAACGGCGCTGGATGGAATCCTCACGGCGTGGCAGTACGTGTCATCGGCGTCGGCACGGAAGGAGAGAGTCCGACTAATCTGGTGAATGGGTCGCCGGATGGCCGCGGCGCCACGGCCACGGCCGGTATGACGGGCAGTGGGGCGTCGCCGCGTCGCACAGTGGGCCAGAAGACCGGTGGAGGCGGCCAAAACTCTTGACGCGTTTAGAGCTCCAGAGTCGCTAAACAGGCCTCGAACCGAAAGTGTGACCCCACCAAATGGATATCCCTCGGAGAGCAATCCATTGGTGGGGTCACACGTTCGGTTCGAGTCCCAGTTAGCGACTCTGGAGCTCTAAACGCGTCTAGAGTTTTGTCCGCCTCCACCGGTCTTCTGGCCCACTGTGCGTCGCCCTGCCCGGGGCACTTGGTATGCAGCGCGCGGCCCGCGGCCAAGCCAGCCGCCAGTGGCGCCCAACAGCCTGGCCGCGGCTCGCGCGGCCTGCGTCGCCTGCGCAGCGAACGGGCACCACGACCACCGCGTGGGCACCGCCACGCCACCGCCACGCCACCGCGCCCCGCTAGGCGTCCTTCACATCCTGGAAGCGCACTCCTCGACGCCCAGCTTCGGATGGCGCCCGCCCCGCCCCGCCCCGCCCCGCCCCCCGCCCCGCCCCACCCCGCCCCGCAATGCACATTCCATTGACTACGAGCACCGCACAACGCACTTTACACTGGGCTGCTGCTGGTCATAAGTTCGAAAACAAAAGAAAACCGTTCTGTAAATTTTCTCATCATTAAAAGCTGCTAGGTTATTTTTAAAGACTTTGTAATTTATACCGTTTTATCGGATTTTTGTACAGAAATTACTTTTAATGTACGACGGTGTGGGTCAGGAGACTCAAGTTCGTAGAGTGGCTCGGGACTCTCTGCCCCCGAAGGTGAGGTGAGAACCCCTGGAGAGACCGTCTCTGATCCACCGAAGTGTAGCCGGTCCTCCCTGCGGGGGAGGCTTCAGGGCATCCAATGTCTCGTTTCTTTCGGAAACTGCTTCCCTCATTCAGCGTCTGCCATGCAAGTGCGCCCATGCACATTGATTCCGAGATTCGTTTTCGTCGCTCTGTCTCTCTCGCACTCATGCGGCGTCCCGGGCGGGTGCGAGAGAGACAGAGCGACGAAACGACTCTCGGAATCAGTGTGCAGAGTCGCGCGGGCAACACGCTCGCGTTCAATCCTGCCACTTTCCGAACGGAGAGCAGACTGCTTGTCGCCCTGTCCAGGACTCGACCGCTCCCAGTGTTCCACCCACCGCCCGCCAACGAGCCGGCCGCACTACACGAGCTGCAGCAGCAGACTGAGTCGCTTTCGTCGCTCTGTCTCTCTCGCACTCACAGGAGGGCATCCCGCATAGGTGCGAGATAGAGACAGAAGAGCGACGAAAAGGACTATCGGAATCAAGTCTGCAGGATGGGCTCGCAGCGCGTACGCCACGCGGGTTCGACTTGCGGTGGCCGTCGCGCGGAGGGGTCGCCCCGCCCCGCCCCGCCCCGGGAGGTCCTCCCCTCTTCCTATCGGACGGCCCGCACTGTCGCTGACGCTGTCGCTGACGCCGCCGAGGAAGGGGCTGGACAGCTGGACAGTCGGCGGGCTGCCCCCCGCCCGTCCCCGGCCGTCGTCGCCGGCCAGGTATATAACGCGCCTTGGCAGCGCGACAGGTCACTCCACTGTGTCTAGTCGTCCGGTCACCAGCCCGAGCCTAGCACCGCCATGAGGTCCTTCGCCGTCCTCGCCCTCCTGGTGGCCGCGGCCCACGCCCTGCCCGCCACCAGCCTGCAGGAGTCTGCCCCCGCCAAGGGCAGCTCGTTCTGGAAGGGCACCCCCATGGACTCGGTGGTGGCCGAGCTGCAGGCGGGGTGCGCCAGCGACGACGCCGTCGCGTGCGTCAAGTACCGCGTGCTCAGCGTGCTCGACCACGTCCTGCGCAAGGACTCGTACCAGGTCGGTCTCCCAGCTTTTCGCTTCAGTTTCACTTGGATTTTGTTTACATTTCCAACTTTGTTGTCGCGACCAAGGTGACGGACTCCGTGTCCGTGGTGAGGAACTCCTACGAGGAGAGCAGCGACTCCTCCAAGGGCCGCGCCGAGGACGGCGGCGACCTGGTGGACGCGGCCAACCACTACCTGCAGCGCCACGACGTCAAGGTGCAGCTGCCCTGGGGCGCCCGCGTGTCCGTGTCGCCCCGCGCCCTGGACCAGGACAAGCTGGACATCAGCCTGGACTTCGGCGGCGAGGGCGAGGAGGGCGAGGAGGGCAACAGCCACGAGGCGGAGGCCCGCCACCGTAAGTACCGTAAGTCCGCTGCACTACTACTTGGCATGGGTGCGTGGCACACTGCATGGCGGGCACCGGTCGTCGCTCTGTCTCCCTCGCATCACTACGGACATCCCTATTCTCTCAACTCAAGCTTCAGGTTGAACTGTAACTTTCACAACAAGACAAAAACGGAGGGGTGAAACCATTTCGATGTGCATCATGGTATTGCGAGAGGGGCCGAGTGACGGAAGCTCTGTTCAGAACCAGCCCGCATAGGCTGTGGTCTCGATGGCGCATGCTCCAAGGGCGAGACGGAGACGGTCTTTGTCGCCTCGCTCCGCACGATGCGTGCTTGTGATTACCGGCCGACTGCTCCAGTCATCACGAGCAGCGAGCGGCACCGGCTGCCTGCCGTCTGATTCCGACACGGTGCGCGGCGGCGTCGCGCTCGCCGCGCCCCTTCGCGGCGCCTCAGTCTCCTCGCGTCTCTCTCACGTCTTCTCTCACGGCGTTCGCGTCTCTCTCGCGCCTCCTCTCCGCCCTCTCACGTCTCTCTCGCGTCTCTCTCTCGCGTCTCTCTCACGCGTCCTCTCTCGCGTCTCTCTCTCGCGTCTCTCTCGCATTCTCTTCGCGTCTCTCTCTCTCTCTCGGTCTCTCTCGCGTCTCTCTCGCGTCTCTCTCGCGTCTCTCTCACCCACCCTCGCGTCTCTCTCGCGTCTCTCTCGCGTCTCTCTCGCGTCTCTCTCGCGTCTCTCTGTCTCTCTCACGCACCGACCGAGCGGCCTTCTTCACGTCTGTCGCACACACGCGCACGCCGCCAACAGCTCGCTCACAAACACGCGCAAGGGGAGGCAGGCAAGGAGACTGTTTCCGAGAGTCGTTTTCGTCGCTCTGTCTCTCTCTTACTCATGGGGCGTCCCGTGTAGGTGCGAGAGAGACAGAGCGACGAAAACGACCCTCGGAATCAGTCTGCAGGAGAGGCGCACCGATTCCAGGAAGCGTAGCAGTGCTGCTGCAAGAGGCAGCGGGCCGGGGGCGGGCGGCGAGGGGCGGGGGCGTCCGAGTGCAGACCGATCCATCGCAGTGTGGGGTTGGCTGGCCTGACGGCGCACGCCACCCCCACACGTCACCGTCCGCATACGCGCTGATACGCTGATGCAAAGTTCCGCGCACAGTGAAACCAGGAAAAATATTGGTTTTCCGCGTCACCGTGTCGCTCTCGTTGAAGTGCTTCAGCTCGGATAACTCGCGCGCCATCCACCATCCGCCCGGCCCGCTGCTTGCGTTCGACGGGGTGGGGCCCACCCGGTGGGCGAGGCGCGCGGATACGCTCGGTACACTCAGCTCGCAGGGTCGAGAGGACTCCGTGGGGCGCGGCGACGAGGCGCCAAGTTCTGACAAGACGCCGAGCGGCGTGCGGAGTAGTTGTAGTCGGCCCGGCCTCGGCCCGGCCTCGGCAGCCGGCAGTCTGGTCTCGTCGCACAAGGGTGAGATATGCGAGGGAGGGGAGGGGAGGGGGAATTCCTCGGGGAGCATGTCGGACTGCCGGAATGGTGTTCGTCCCCGGCCTGGCCTCGCCGCGCCTCGCCGCGCCGCCTCGAAGGAGGGCGTGGAGCACCAGGCCAGAGTCCTAACAGCGGGGCGTGTGTCTTGTTGCAGGCAAGGGCAAGGGCAAGCTGCGCCGCATGATGGTGCCCATCCTGGTCTTCATCCTGCTCAAGGCCATGACCCTGGTGCCGCTGGCCATCGGCGTGCTCGGCCTCAAGGCGTGGAACGCGCTGCAGCTCAGCTTCTTCTCCTTCGTCATCGCCGTGGGCCTGGCCATCTTCCAGCTCTGCAAGAAGATCGCCGCCGACCAGGCGCCCGTCTCGCAGCTGTCGGCGCACGTCACGCCCTGGGACGCGCACTACGCCGCCGCCCGCGCCTTCGAGGTGCCCGCCGCCGAGGCCGCCGCCGAGGCCGCGGCGGTCTCCGCCCCCGCAGCACAGGCCTACCCCGGCGACGCCCACAGCCTGGCCTACCGGGCCCACCGGGGGCAATAGCAGGTTGGTATGCCGCGAGCCGCTTCGAACCCGTTCAAAGCAGCAGTCCACCCCAAACGTGGTGCCAGCCGGCTCGGCGACGACCGCGCGGCTCCAGCGAGGCCTGCTTGGCCTTGGGCGGGAACGGCCCGCCGGGTCCGCCACAGAGCGACACGCGACCTCGACGCGTTCTCGCGACGGCCTCGCGACGGCCTTGGGGCGCGGAAGGGGTTGCCGGGGCAACGTGTGATGTGCGTGAGGAACCGTCGGGAACCGCAGCCCGGCACGGCGGCGCGGCGCGGCGCTGCGCGGAGGCCTTTGTCTGGCCGAGGCCGAGGGCGGATGGCGGCGACCCGGGGCAGGGGCCGGGCCTGCCTGGCCTTGCCGCGGAGCTTGTCAACACTGAATTGGAGCCCGCGACACGCGGCACGCGGGCTGCGACCGGAAACGGAACGGAGGCTGTGTCTGCCTCGCTCTGTTTGTTTGAATGGGGCCGGCCGGCCGGGTGGCCACCCTAGCGTGATCGGCCTCAGCCTCCGGGTGGCGACGTTAGCGTCCTCGGCCAGCCTCCGGGCGGCCACCCTAGCGTGCTCGGCCTCAGCCTCCGGGTGGCCACCCTAGCGTGCTCGGCCTCAGCCTCCGGGTGGCGACGTTAGCGTCCTCGGCCTCAGCCTCCGGGCGGCCACCCTAGCGTGCTCAGCCTCGGGTTGTGGGTGGAGCGAGGCAAGGAAGTCCCGCGGAATCAAGGCCTTCCCCACGGACACCTGACACTTTCCCCTCGTAAGCCCCCTTTCTTACTCCGACCAATAGAATCAAGCTCGACTAATGGCTGTTCATTTCCTCTCTGTTTCAGATTACATCACCTAGGACCAAGTCAGCACGGTGATACTGTGCCAAAACCTACCAAAAACTATTTATTTCCTCTCTATTTGTTTTAAAAAATAATTTATTGTTGTTGTACGTGATACTCCTGTTTGAATTGTAATATAGAAAATTTATTTACAATAAAATAATTAAAACCTATCCATTCGTTGCCCAACTCTTTCATTGTCCTACGAACAACCAAGAAACAAAGCTTGCCAACATCTCTTCGCAGGAAATATAAAAAAAGGAAACTTGTCTTCACAGTATAGTATACGTTTTGTGAACGTGAATTGATGACGACGGCCGGGTCTACCTTGCCGAGCGTTGCGGAGAGCGCGACGAGAAGGGAAGGCCTTTGAGGCGCGGGGCGGGGTGAGTCCAGTGACTGGACTCCAGTCCCCGTTCCAAAGGTTCACTTCCTCCCCTCCTTGCCGGGCATTCTTCATTGCATCTTAAAGGGCCGGTAGACCGATTCCGAGAGTCGTTTACGTCGCTGTCTCCCTCGCACTCATGCGGCGCCCACCATAGGTGCGAGAGAGGAAGAGCGACGAAAACGCCTCTCGGAATCGGTCTATACAGGCGAGGGGCGAGTGGGATGGTGTCCCGGCCTAATTGAGTTGGCCGCAGGAACGTAACGAAATCCGAGGCCGGTAGGCTCACTCTGAAAGTGTCTCGTCTCCCTCTCTCTCGTGCTCACAGGGGTGTTCTGCGGGGGGCGAGAGAGACAGCGAGGGAAGCACGGCTTGGCCTGCGGCCGTGGCCGCGGGGCCGGGCGGCTTTGAATTCTTCCTATCCTCACTAACAAAGACATCCTCGCAGACCGGAGAGACGGCACAATACACCGTAGTCGATCTCCCGGCATTTCCACCAGTTCGCTCCCGCTCCCTGCACCCCTGTACCGGTGGCGGATCCAGAGGTGACCTGGGGGGGGGGGCAAAGTCGCACTTTTTGCCTACTTACAGGGGCAAAGTAGCACTTTTTGCCAGTCTTTCAGCCCCCCCCCGTATCCGCGCCTGCCCTGTACCCATGCACCCCTGCACCCCTGCGCCCCTGCACCCCTGCACCCCTGCACCCCTGCACCCCTGCACCCCTGCACCCCTGCACCCCTGCACCCCTGCACCCCTGCACCCGTGCACCCCTGCACCCCTGCACCCCTGCACCCCTGCACCCGTGCACCCCTGCACCCCTGCGCCCCTGCCCCCTGCACCCCTGCACCCGTGCACCCCGCACCCTGCACCCCTGCACCCACTGCACCCCCCCCCCTGCACCCTGCACCCTGCACCTGCCCCTGCACCCCTGCACCCCTGCACCCCTGCACCCTGCACCCTGCCCCTGCACCCTTGCACCCTGCACCCCTGCAGAACCCTGCACCCTGCACCTGCACCCTGCACCTGCAAACCTGCACCCCTGCACCCCTGCACCCCTGCAGTCCCCTCTGCCTCTAGCCCGCGTTCGGCGCCTGCATACCGGCATTCCAACGCGAAAATGCACCGCCGGGCTGATTGGTTGGCCGGGAGCTGCGAAGCGAATACTCCCGAACGGCCGAGGCTTTGATTAACCCACTGAACCCCGCCCCCCGTTTCCTTCCTTTCTCCCTCGAGTGGGTCGTTCAGCAGCAGCAGCGCAGAACTCACCGCGCCACTGGAAAACATTGCCTCCGCCCGCCGAGAAAACGGGCCTATAAAGAAAAGCAGCCGTAAAACATGTTGCTGATGCGATACCGATCACCGGGCCGGACGGCCGGACCGGACCGGACCGGGGGTTGGGGTTTATTCCTTCGGCAAACGCGCGTCCGTTCCGTGGCGGCCTACTGCGAGGTCCACTGGGCTGGTCCACTGGGCTACGCGACGGGACGGCGGCTCCTCGATGGAACATTCGAACCTATCGCATCGTAAAAGCCGGACTGCCAACGGGCTCCATGAGCGGGGCCAGACTGTCGGACTGTCGGACTGTCGGACTGTCGGACTGTCAGACTGTCACACTGTCAGACTGTCAGACTGTCACACTGTCACACTGTCACACTGTCCCACTGTCACACTGTCACACTGTCACACTGTCACACTGTCACACTGTCCCACTGTCACACTGTCACACTGTCCCTGTCACACTGTCACACTGTCACACTGTCACACTGTCACACTGTCCCTGTCACACTGTCACACTGTCACACTGTCCCACTGTCACACTGTCACACTGTCCCACTGTCACACGGTCACACGGTCACACTGGTTCGCATTTCTATGCATGGTTCGCGCTTCTGATGACACGTATTTTCAAGTCCCTTTATTGTTGCAGTGAAAAACAATCGAATGCTCAGAGATCCTCCAGATAAATATGAAAATCATTTGGGGTGCGTTAAAATATTGACTGCCGACGTCATAGTTTGTTTTGATCGTGTTTTATTTCTTCGGTTTATTTAAAAAACAGCTTTGATTTACATTGTACTGTACTCAACGCTCCCCAAGAAAACGGTTGAGATTTCGTCAAGGGCATCCGTTTTGCTTAGTAGTTGAAGTCCTGCGGCCCTTTCCCTTGGGTCGGTTTCTCCAGACGAGCGATCACCCGGATGCGTGGCATGCGTGGCGTTCCGAGGCATTCTGGCCGCGGGCCGAATCGCCGCACCGCGCAGCGTGGCCGATAAGAAAGTCAAAAATCACGCCCACGCCGGGAGCGCGTACGGCATCAAGGCCCCGCCCCGCCCCGCCCCGCCCCGCCCCGCCCCCCCCCGCCCCGCCCCGCTTGGCTGCCGCGACAAGGGGTCACGGCATGGATTCCTCGCAGCCACGCGCCCTCCGCCACGCGGAAGGCGTGAAGCCGGTACCTACGCACGCCGTGCCGCCACGCCCCGCCGCCCCGCCCCGCCGCACCGGGACGGGACACTAGGACCTTCTCCAAAGTCCAAACTCGCGCGGCGTGTGCCAGGCCGGCCAGGCGCCTCTTCAGCGCACCCACGCGGGGCAGGGCGGGGCGGGGCGGCGCGGCGCGTGGCGGGGCCCGTTCCGACACCCGCGGTGCATGCTAAGTTCCAGCGACACCTTTCCCCGAGGTGCTACCGGTGCTGAACGGGCTCACCCGCATGCAGGAATGAGCTGCTGGCGACCGCGGCGACCGGGGCGGGGCGAGGCGGGGCGGGGCGGGGCGGGGCGGGGCGACCTGCGACCTCACTCTTCCTTTCCTCGTCGTCCTGTCTGGCCCCGGGGCCCTGGCAGTCTGTCCCTGGCGGCGTGTCCGTGGCGGCCGGCCCTCCCCTCCGACCGCGCCGACGTGCCCCTCTCCGACGGCGGCATCCCCTCCTCGGCGCCCCGGACTGCGACAGGTGCCCGGGGACAGTGCCGGCAGGGGGTGCGGATATAAAACCGGCGTGCCAGGAGGTGTGGCCTTCACAGTCGCTCCCGCCGAGTCCGGTAGTCGCACCCAGCCGCCATGTCCCCGTCGCGATCCTGGAGGTTGCCGGCGCCCGTCGCGGTGCTGGCCTGCTCGTGGCTGCTGGCCGCCGCGCTCTGCTGCGTCTCCGCCGAGGACGTCGCCAACAACCAAGTGTTCGGCGGGCTGTTCGGCAAGCCGCGCAAGATCCGCTCGAGCGAGGAGCTGCTATCGGCCATCGTCAACGACTGCATCGGCGGGGAGATGTCCACCATGTCCTGCCTGCGCGTCAAGGTGCTCAGCTACCTGGACTCGGTCGTGGGACTCAACGGCGCGTCCAGTGCCGACGTCGTGTCCGCGCGCGCCCTGGAGGACGGCTCGGCCGACGCCAAGATGGACAAGCTGATCGCCGACCGCATGCGCCGCTACCTGGACACGCAGCAGTTCCAGGTGAAGCTGCCCGACTTCCTGTTCGAGGAGGGCGGCGTGCTCAGCTTCCGGCCCGCGCAGGGCGTCGACGGCATCCAGCTCAGCTTCCCGTCGGATGGGGAGGGAGAGGGCCGAGCCCTCCTGTCTGAAGGTACGAAAAAGAAAAGTAAGTTGGCTGCCCTGGCGGCGGGGCGAAACAGCGAAGCTAGCGACGCTAGCGAAGCAAGGGGCACCGGGGGCAGAGCAAGGTCTCCCAGTCACCATCGTTCACGTCCTGGGAAAACTAGAGATAGCGTGCGACTTGTGAAATGGCCGGATGCACCGTTCTATTCGTGGTTCGTATTTTTGCCCGGGCTCCGCCGGGCCGTGGCCTCGCGGTGGCATCGCGGTCGCGTCTTGATCGTGTTTATTGGGTCGTAACTGGAGGGCGCTTTTGTCGAGCAGCCGCGACGCGCCGCGACGCCGTGGCCGGGAACACGATAACGAGGGTGCGGAACTCGGAGGGGCGGGGCGCCGGCCTGGCGGCTGTGCTGCGGGTGCGCGTCGAGGTGCACCGAGTAGGCTGCCCGCGGCGTAAAGACGGTCAATTTTAAATTTGCGGTATGCTTGGACGGCGAGGCTTTGGACGCTCGCTCGATGCGATGCTCTCTGCTCGCCCTGCTCTGCCCCCGATACGCCGATGGGTCGCCATCATCCTCACGATCCTCACACTCCGCCTTGTCTGTTCCAGAGCGCGGCCTCCTGCTCAAGAAGAAGCTACTCCTGCCCGCGCTCGTGCTTATGAAGCTCAAGATGAAGGCCCTCATGCCCATCTTCATGGCCATCATCGGCGCCAAGGCCATGAAAGCCCTCGTCATGTCCAAGCTGGCGCTGACGCTGGTGCTCGGCTTCCTGCTGGTGCAGCTCCTCAAGAAGTTCGGCATGATGATGCCCATGGGCATGGGCATGGACGCGACCACCACGATGGCGCCCATGACGGCGTACGGTCCCCCCGCCCCCATCCCGAGCTACGGCCCGCCCCAGCCCACCTACGGCCCGCCGCAGCCGTCGTACGGTCCGCCGCCCCAGCCTTCTTACGGGCCCCCTACCAACTCCTACGGCCCACCCGCGTCCGGACCTGCCGGCCCCGCGCCCACCATGTCGTCCTACGACCCCAACTCGTGGTCGCCGTCCCCTGACTCGGCGCAGTCCGGCAGCGCACCGTACTCCCGCGTCTGGGACGCCCACAGCTTGGCGTACAGCTCGTACCAGCCGCAGCGCGACCAGCGCGACACCACCGCGTCGTCCGGCACGGCCGCGGGGGCGTCGTCGGCAACCTCGTCGTCAGCCACCGTCACGGCCACCCAGTACTAGACCAAGAGGGACGCACCGCGACGGACCCTACCTACCACTACCTGACCTATGGAACTATTGAGACGCCAGGGACGTAGCTTTAAGGGCAATTAAGTTACCCTGAACCTAAGACACGTTACACGTATTTTTAATTTTTGTGTGGATACTTTGCGCACTTGCCCCTTGGAAGCAGGCGCCCTTCGACCGACCCTTGTTTCCCGCACCCTTATTGCTACGACTCTGGCTCCAGCGGAACCCATTCGACATTCTAGTCACAGAAAATATGACTTAGTGTAACTGACTGACTGACCCAATGAACTCGACCCATTAAGGACCTAATTAATGATGCCAACTGACGGACGATGACCTGACCTATTGACTAACGCAACAATGTCCGGCCTGTGTATACGCTATTTAATATTTTATTTATTTATTTATTGTTAAGTGTGATAGAGCCTGAAATATATAAGATGAATCAAATTTGAAATTTGTGTGTCAACTATGTACCCTGATTTATTTAAAAATATCCTTGTATACTTTATCTTTAATTTTGAAGTGATCATCTGGCTTTGAAATTTGTTATGCCATATTTTACTATGTGCACCAAAGCAGGGAGAGATCAAACAAAATTATTCGGATGTACTTTGTTTTTTATTTAACATTAACGAAAGACAATTAGAAACACATAAGACTCAAACAAATCAAAACACTACTTGGAATTGTTTATTCTACCCCATCCCATGCTATCCCAGTACAGCTTTCTCTTCAGCCAAGAAGGAGTATTACGGCCGAAGTATTGAGCACCAGGGTAGTTCAGCTTGGGTTTGTTTTTCAGGAATGGGTCAGTTGTTTTCAGCCTGTCAACAATGTACTCTTTGTTGATTTCACAGGGATCTCGGTATCTATCAAGGTACCTGAAATTGTTCACATTCCACATTAGTACAACAAAATAAAACCTTGTCAAATCTCCTACAGAAAAAAGAAAGGTTTCACTTACACATTGAATGCAACCTTATTAGGAAACCATTTCTGCTCAGCAATATAAGGTTCGGGGAAATCATACTCAAATCTGGGCTCCTTCATACCTAAAGTTTCATTAAACACTTTTTTGACAGAATAGTCATAATCTGTTTGGTAAAAGCCAAGCCCTGCTGGGGTAATATTATCTTGTCTCTCTCTATAGAAATCTATGGTTTTGAAAGTTCGCTGTGAGAGGTCCGTACTGTAACAAACATGAGATATCGCAATTGAATAATATCAATCAAGCACAAAAAGTCTACATGTAGCACCAAAAGAAATGGGAGCAAAAAGATGTTACCATGGTAATGTTCTTTTCAAACTAGAATAATCTATCTTTCCATTCTGTTTGTACAATACAAACACAAGACGGTGGAATCCAGTCCCAGCAGGGGGAAAAGGAGGAATATAATCAAACACCACTTCACCTTTCGATACTTGGTTACCTGGAATATTTCCACTGCAAAGGCACATAATAACAACAAAATTAATCTTCAAAATGATAAAATCAATCAAGAGTCAGTTCATCAACTGTAGTGACACTCACATAAACCAATGAACATATTCTGCATTCTCCTCAGATAGGTGACCATCAGGATTTGTAAGAATCAATGTCCATAAACTGTCCTTATCAGCATTAAATTTTACTTCAGGTGCAATCAAAGCCTGGAACACAGAAGATTTAGAACACCAACAATTTTCACCACATTACTACAGAAACATTTCAAAAATCCTCTAATCTTTCTGATTGATTCTCTTACCTCTCTTGGTTTTATAATGTTTCCTCGATAGACAGGTACTACTGAATCATCTTTCTGCACATACTCAATGTCTAGCATCACTCTGGGATAGAAAAATGCATCACCAAACAGATGTGAGTAAATGTTGTAATGCTCAGCTATCACTTTTAGATGGGAACTTGCAAGGCCTGATTCTTTCCATGCCTCTTCAATACTTTCAAGAGGAACATCCACTGAAAATTCATAATCAATTATTTGAAGAAAAGAAAGGAATTAAAGTGAGACATCAAAATAGAATGTTAAGAGAAAATTCATACATTTCAATTCTCTAGCCAGGCGTTCCATTTGGGGATCGTTTTTCACCTTCGACAGAATCTTTGATCGTTCCAGAGCTAATGTTCTGGCATTACCATGAGGTGATGGCAATCCAATGTCAACTTTCCGGGCTACTTCAGGGTCGACTCGATTGTAGTCTGGAAATAAAGCAGATAAGCTACTTGTTAATGGACAAATCATCGAGCAAACCAGCGAGCACATAACTAATCAAAAAGTACAAGATTCCTTCGACACTCTTGGAAAACGACAAGGATTTCAGGTAAAATAAGTGACAAAAACAAAGAAAATACTAAGAATGTTAATTTTTGTAGGTAGTTTTACCTTCGATTTTCTTTTTAAGTGATCGGCCTTTCTCCGGGGGCAAACCCAACATTCTAATGACACTGCGAGTTGACTGAAGGTTTGAAAAGCCATAAGCCTGCTGTGACACTTTGAGAAGACGGGAACTCATTTTGATCAGTTCTTCAACAAAAATCAGTATTTCAACTCGAATTTCAACTTAGTTTCTTCTGCTACCCAGACAACCTAACCCCTCCACGGGCAAAACATGTTTGCAGCTGCCATCTTTTCCGTCGCTCATTTGTTTAGGAAGGCACACAACACCAATACAAAAAACTTATTTCACCAATCAGGATTCAGAGTGTGTGTTCATTGCTAGAAAACCTTGATTTCAAAACAACCAGGCAAAACTTTATTCATCGAATATCATTTCGTCGTTTTATTTTGTGTTAAAGTTAGTGCAATCTCTTGGCCCGTTCTTTTGGATCAGTCGGAGAGTTGGTGCACCGTAAAAGCGCTTCCCATTTGAAAGTTAGAATGGAATGCCTAGGAATATTTTTTAAAGAGTTAATACTTTCATAGCCACTCCCATCGGCATTTTTTACCGATCATTGCGTGTTTCAATGCTCTAGTGAATCCAGCTCTATGCATCTGCGAGTTTCATACCCGCCTGTGTTTGTTGTTGTTATTTTCGGTTTCGTTAGTTTTGTTGTGAGTGGGAAGCGTCGTCAGCCCTCGGAAGCTTCGTGGTTGTGAATGCCCTAGAAAGGAAAATTTCATTCAATGGTCGTGTTGTTGTCAATATTAGAATTTTTCTTAAGGTTCCTTTGAAGGGCCTTGCTTCCTGATACATTTCACTGTAATTTAATGAAGGAAATCACGGAAAATATGGTAAGAATCGTCGAAGTAGCGCAACAGGTGTCTCAAATGGGGTAAATGGAAAATTTGCAGTCCTTTCTATGTTTTTTTCAGTTCTAAATAAGTTGAATGTATTTGTTTGGTGGATACAATTTGCATACTTAATCGCTTCATACTGTTTTTTTAATCGATTATTCCTTGCCGTATACGTCGGCGCTAACCTATAAAAATGTATTTGGCCTCAATGTTTTTGTTAAGGCAATGATCAATTTCGTTTTGGCTTTGGTTACCCAGGGACTTTGGGATACTTTTTCGTTCTCATACGTCTGTTGATAAGATACCTGTGATGACCAAAATAAACTGCCAGTTAGTTTTTGTTGTTTGTTCTTAGTTTGTTCGTTTTGACTTCTGACAATATTTTATTTCCAGTCGTCAACCAAATCCCCTCCTGCAACTACTTTGGATGGTTTGCCCAAGAAGTTTGTAGTTGCAATGAGAACTTTATTTGATATTATGGATGATAAGCGTATTGGATATGTCAGCTACACCGGTACTGAACCTTTTGTGTGATTTTACTGTTTGCTTGTGGTTCTTAAATTTAAATCAAGTTATCTATTAATTTTATTCATGTGTTGTGCAGACATTGAGAACCGTTGGCATGATGATGGCACCAAAGGATTGCCAAAAGGTGTTCTTGATTGCCTTCAGAAAGTAACTCCACCTAATGGGTTGTTAACATTTGAGCGGTTCTGTGCTGGCCTTAAAATATGTTTGCTTCGAAACCAAGCTGAAACAGGGCGTACCAAACTCTCTGATTGTGGAGGCAAGTGCCTGTTTCATTTAAGTACTGTCCTATTTTTTGCAGATGCATGGTACTTAATTTTGATCATTTTAACAGCTCAACCATTGCGTCCACCATCTGCACCTCTTTTAGATGTGGATCCCATTCCCCTTTCAACGTTTCCAGCGTGGAACCCAAGCAACATTTCTGGGCCACAGCACCGTGCTGCCAGCATGCCTCAGCTACCCAATGATTCAAGAGGTACCTGTATTTTTGAATCCTTCAGTTTCAAGCTAATGATCTGTGCTATTTTGTGAAATTTTTGGAATATTTGTGATGTTTTTTCCTAAGACCCTGACACAAGAACTTATTCAGACATGCCATCAGAATCAGTCATCAGTGCCGTGGCTGGAAATAATCCTCCGGCAGGAGGTAGCAAAGCTCATCTCTTTGGTCCACCGAAGCCACCCAGAACTGCAGCAGGGCTCCTGGCTTCACGGGAAAGGTGTGTAGATGAGTCCCCATCAACGTAGATGTAAATTTTCTACTTTATAGCATGAAATGATCATAGCACCATCTGTTTTCATAATATTCTTTAAAATCTAGTTATTCAGGGCTAGATCGAACAATTACTGATCGCAGTATGGCAGAAAGAAGTGCATTGGACAAAGCTGAAATAAGGTCTGCGCTACAATGTTGGCAACAGCGTGCCACCCAGCCAGTATGGAACAATCGGGGATCAGGTGATGGAAAGCCAGCAGCTTTGAATCCATGCTCAACATTTCCACTGAATAAAAGTAAGATTACCTTCTGTCTCAAGAGTGAAAGCAGGGGGTGGAAACGGCGCTGATTTGGCGGGCCATGGCTGCGGCGATGCGTGCACGGCCGTTGTTTGTTGTTTTTTTTTGTGGTTCCTAGAAACCCACTTTCTAGCTAAAGTAGACATCTTATGCACAAATCCTGTACGTGTACTTCTAGAGTAATGTTGTCTCTTCGAGAAAATAAGCCCGTTTTGAAGATTTGAAACCCACAGGACGAGTCATGGACATGTTTGTAACTTGTTTTAAATGGCTCATCCGCGTTCGGGCGCGGCGATTCTGGCCTGAAAACGCCGAAAAAAATGTAAACAAGTTACAAAAATGTGAATATCTCATTTTGTAAGTATCAATTCGGCCCAAGGAGCTTATTTGCTGATCCTTCAACCTTACTCTTTAAGTACGCGTTGAGGTTTTGTCGTTAAGACGACTACTTCAGCTGGAAAGTGGTTTACCAACTAACGCGGTAAAGTGGTGAAAACGGCAAAAACGGCCGTGCACGCATCGCCGCAGCCAAGGCCCGCCAAATCAGCCCCGTTTCCACCCCCTGGTGAAAGTGCTCGAACACTTCCTCCCCAACCTCCCTTCAAATAAAATATGTTTTGTTTCATGTCATTACTTCCAACAAAAAAGATGAAGCTGAAAGTGGATCTGGCAGTCATAAAAGAAGTACAGGTCGCCGGCGAGAGCCTCGTAGACATACATTGCAGAATGGCATTGATTACAATATGGTAAAGATGATAATTCTCCTAATGCTGTTTAATTTTCTTTTATAAAACAAATGTAATTCTCTTTTTTCTTTTCTTTTTTTTAGCTTAAACGTATGAAGCAAATGGAACAAGAAAAGGAAGTACTTCTAGATGGTCTTAAAGCTGTTGATCAAGCCCGAGAATGGTACTTGAAACAGGTTGCATCTGTCACTGAGAAAATGAAATATCTGGGCAGAATGGGCTCTCACATGGTATGCACAGGATGGTCATTTTTATTATTATTTCAATTTTAAGGTAACAATTTGACTCATGATCCATTCCCCAACAACAGGAGCCATGGAGTGAAACTCAGCAAGAACGAATTCAGCTTCAAAGAGCCCGCGTTCTAGAAGTCAATCGTCACCTCGCTGCACTTACAGATGGTGGTGAACGAGGTGGTTTCCCATTGCAACTCAACTTAGCAGTGCATGGATCTCTAGGAGCTCAACAATTACAGCAACAGGCAGCTGCTGCTGCAGCAGCTCAAAGGTTCCGGCACCAGAACTTGATGCTTACTGAGGTAACTATTGAAAATATTTCACATTCTTGCTGTAGCTTCAAACTTAGAGTATAGTGGCTATGAAGGCTAATTTCTGTATCCCTTGTCTTCAAAAGGAGGTCAGTAAGAAGAACGATCGCATCACAACTCTTGAGCGTGAAAAAGCATCGTTGATCCGCGAGCTGTACTCCTTAAGAAGATCATCTCACCCACAAAATGAACGAGGTTTTGTTTAAGGCCCCATCCAGTATGTATCTGTTTGAGTGTTTTGTCCAGTTACCTCTTAATGTTTCAAATTAGCTCATCTTTTTGCTGTATTGTCTCATCCCCAAAAGTGCAGAGGCACAATGTACAAGTCAAGTGTGTTTTGAATATAACTCATTATTGTACTTATGCAGTATACGTCTAATTTGTTTTGACCCCAAGAAGGATGGTGTATCAGAGACAGTACAGAATAAAGCTAACAGTTGTTTTTTTGTTATCTTTTTCTTTTTTGGAATTGAAGTTGTTTGGAGAAAGAAATTTGTTTCTTTAGTTTTTGTTACTTAATTGAATGTGCACTGTTATTTTAATGCACATCTATCTTCCAAATGCCATGTGCTTAACTCATTAAACAGGAATTAATCCGTCCTTTTTGAAGAAATATTTTCACTGCCGTCCATTATAAGAGAGATGTATTGTGATTTTGTTAACTTCTATCTTATATACTGTAATCAATTAGCACTGTGGCGTTCTATAATTGTTTGATACTAGTAACCACAGACTATTTGAGGTTTATTATTATTATTATTACAGGATTTCTGGCCTTTCCGTTTGTGTCTTCTTACTTTATCATGATTGTTTTTTTGTTTTTTTTTGTAGTGTTTGTTTGTTATGAACTTGCTCAATTATTGCTGCTTGTTAGCTTGGCCCTCTTTTTATTCACAATGTTAATCTTGTTAAATTTTGTTATTGTATGTGCAACTAATATTTTATTCTCAAGATTCTTGTTTTATTTGGATTCTGGTCATTCCTATGGCTTATTATTCTAGACTTACAGACTTGTCACTATTCCCATTATGTGCCATTGTGTTTTGTCTGGTTTCAAATTTTACATTGCCTCACCTATGGAAGAGGACAAATAATACAGAGAATACTAGAAGTATTTCTTTTTCCATCCACAGTGCCATCATGCCATTAGAATCCACCGAATGAAAAAAACAAAGTTCTGTTGAATCTTCGTTTTTTGTCTTCACTTTGTATTTGTGTCAAATGTTGTGGGTGCTATTTTTGCAAGGACTTGTGAGGATAGTTCTAATTTATTTACTTATTTTTGTTTTCTTGGGCCAAATATTTTCACAGATGATGAATGTGCCTTAACAAAGAACAGTCACCACCAGAGGGCTGTAGGGGAGTTCTGTAGCAAGTTGTAACCCCTCTTCCTCAGAGTGTTATTGACGTCTTAGCTTGTCTGAGAACCAAGTATCCTGATGGCTTTCCATGGTTGTAACTTTGTAACCATCCTCCATACGGTGTTCATTGAGTGTACTCAAGGTGGTGGGTGTGAGAAAGGTGATTAAGGTGCGAGATCGCGGACCGGGGTCCAAGCAACGGCTAAAGGAACTTAGACCGTTGTATTGACCGGAGTCCTCTCATGCGAATACTCCTTGCCATTTTCGTTCAGGCAGTTCAGGCAGTGTAGCACTTTCCCGAGAGATGGCACCACAGTCGAGTACTTCCAAAAAATTAAAAGGTCCTTGTTGGGGGTGGAGAGTCCTATCCTCACTGTGCATCATCTTCGTGTCAATGCCGCCTGATTTGGCAGTGTAGTTGCCGGTGCGGCCGAGGCGAGCACCGGCACCCTCGTCAAAGTGCACAAAGACAGCTTGACAGGTGTCACTCAGCATGAGCACAGCAACGGGTGAACTTCTGAGATTTCAAATTTATCAAATCAAACTTGTTTCAGTCGTTTTCCTCGTCTCATCGCGGTGCCAGGGGTATATAAATTTATCCCAATAGTGCAAAATGAACGGGTAGAGTCCGCGGCCTAATCCTGTTGTTGGCCCTTCTGGGGCTGCCCCAGTGGCCGAGCGCGCTGCCGGTCCTCGGCTGCGTCTCCAGCGGGGGGAGGGGAGGGGGCAGACGGAGCGGAGACAATAGATCGGAATGCAGCGAGGTGTCCATCATAAACGTGTCGCACCGACTCGGCCGTCCTGCACGCAGTTCCGATTCTTTCCGCCGCGCCACCCTCCGATGCCTCAGGATTCGACCGCCAAATTCAAAACGTGTGAAAAGGACGGAAAACTGAGTGAAACGGCAAGAACGCCTACGCAAAAACTATGATAGGTACAGCGAATCCGAAAACGGATCCGTGTAGGGGAAGGGTGTCCGGAGGGCAATTGATCAGTCTGAAAGTAATCCGACAATAATTAGTGTCATTGGGGTAGCGTCAAAGAAAAGAGCGAAAGTAGTCGGTTTTGAACACCTCACCAAACGTACAAATATTGATCGCGCGGCTCCCGGCCTGATCAATTGCCCTCCGGACACCTTTCCCCTACACGAATATGCTTTTGGTTTCCAGATCAGACGCATAGTTGAGCCGTAGGCGTTTTTTTTCGCGAGCGCTGTTTTTACACTTACAACGTTCAATATTTCGGTTCAAATTTTTTTGAAAAGAAAATCCTTTGAATGGGGTGCTTGTATTGTCGTCCTTAATGCATGTACAAATTTTGAACGAAATCGGTGACCCAAAATTTACGCGATCTAGCACCTTAAGAGACCTTTCTCAGAGCTCAATATTGCTTTCTCATACTGTTGTGATTTTAATTTTTTTTTAAACGTAACAATTATAATGATGGATTTAAAAAAAAAAAAAACTTTATTTTTCCTTGTCTCCTGTCTTTACTTGATAAGTACTATAGTTTGGGATGATAAAGAGCAGAGTCCACCATTGAGTATAAATTTTATTTATTGAATGAGATGCGCAGTAAAATGGATGTGATGAGTTCCTATCTACTATCAAGATATATCAAAAGTCTACTCTCTAAAATCAATACAGTAAACAACTAAAATCATAAATATCACTTTTCTTACTTTAAGGACCACTATCTACCTCAAATATGTTCCTCAGCATATTCAAATAGTAACTTTCATTAAAGTAATCTTAATTTTAATATGCAGGTTTCATGAGATGCTTAAACTACAAGCAGGGCCCTAAAGCTGCCACATACATATAAAAAAACTTGCAAAAAAAATTATTAAAACACAAACCTGCAGGCATAGCAGTCTTTACCTGGCCGCACATTTAAAATATGAGGCTTAAGTTTTCAATAAACTATCATCTCTTAAAGTCTAAGATCAACATTTTAAATATTCTATGAAAAAAAAGTACAACACTAAATGTTTTATAATGACTGTAAAGGGACAACGGCGTTGCTTGTGAAGAAGATTCACTAAGTAAATGGACTATCATAAAAACATGTGACTGCACTAGACCAGTCTTTCAGATTTAGGTTTGCTGCTTAAAGCTAGAACAGCAATGTGCAAGATGGCTTAAAAATTTTGAACATTCAAAACATACACCAAGAATAGAAAACTTTAAAAATAAAGATATCAATATTTACATTATCAAAAAGTACCCAAGACACTAAGAGAAAAGTGCTGAGCTCATAACTGGGTTGGAAAAACCCATAATAAATTTAAAATCTTTCTCCGCCATTTGCCTGCTTTTCATGATGCACAACATTTGAATTAGCCCTTCGACCTCTGAGTTCAGCAAGTACTTCAGAAATATCTTTCCCTTTCGTCTCAACAACACAGAAGAAAGTAAAGAAACAGCCAATAATTGAAATAATAGTAAAGATCCAAAATGTGCCGTAAGTGTGTACACTGTTGACCAAATCACTGTAAAACTTGGTTACAACAAAGACTGCTACCCAGTTAACAACAGTGGCAATGGACATTGCTGTTTCCTTAATTTGATCTGAGAAGACCTCAGACATATACAACCATGGAATTGGACCGTATCCCAAAGAGAACACGATTATAAAGACAACCATGCATGTAATTGGTAACCAGCCAATACTGGATGCATCCTGTAACAGAGAAATAATGCCGTGAGATAATAATCTATTGGCAACATCAATTTAATAAAATAAATATTCAAATCAACTTACACCAGTCTCTTGAATGTAGAAGTAAACACCAAGAAGTGCTCCTGACAGCGCCATCATCGCCCCTGAAAAGATCAACAAGAGTCTGCGGCCGAGGCGGTCAATCATCAATGTAGACACATAGGTTGCTAATATTTGGCAAACTCCTACTATGACTGTGGAAAGGTTGGATTCTATGCCAGCATGGGCAGCCTGTCAACAAAACAAATTTCATAATTAACACACACCTTCCAATATTTATTTTGTAAGAGAGGTATGATTCTTCTACTTACATCGAATATTTGCTTGGAATAAAAGATAACTGCATTAATTCCACTGAACTGCTGGAACAGCATCACTGACAGTGCAAGGAACAGTCCCATTTTGGCTTCACGTGTAGAGAAGGCTTCCGTGAACTTTACTTTGGAGCGCTTGCGCTGCAATGTAAAATAAGATGAATGAGATGACGTAAAAACAAAGCACATAAAACATTCAAATTACGATTAAAATAACAAACAAAATGATTCAGGTCATACCTCCTCAATACCCTCTTGAATGGCAGTAAGCTCATTTTCAACATTATCTGTCCCACGGAAAAATTGGAGCGATTTCCTTGCATCCTCTGATCTTCCCTTGGACAAATACCAAACAGGAGTATCATAGAAGAAGAAAACTAGAACACCCATCACAACTGGTATGCAGGCACATGTGATGTTTATTGCCATCAAAGAAACTCCCTGAACAAAACAAGAAGAAAAACACAAAATAATTGCCACTGAAGTGTGCAATCAATAATTTAAAAATTGTAATTCGATTCTTCATTACTCACACAGGCATTCAGTGCATAAACAAAGAGAATTCCTGAAGTGATTAGCAGCTGAAAATAACTGCCAAGAACTCCCCGAATTGAGTTTTCTGATATTTCAGCAGTGTACATAGGTGCAACCACACAATATGCTCCTGTTACTGCTCCTAAAATAAATCGAGCAACATACAGCATTGCCAGCTAAAAGGAAAAGCAAAGTTTGGTCAATGGCCAGTCATATTAGGAGTAAGACAGAATTAAGGTTTTAAGATACCACTTACAGAATTGGCAAAGGCCAGTAGCAAGTACCCTGCGGTCATGGCAGGTGCCAAAGCAATTATAACCATCTTCCTGCCGATCACATTGGCAAGAAAGCCAAGTGGAATGGCTCCAAATATGGCACCGATGGACAGGAAAGCGCCGACCCATGCAAATTCCTCTTCAGTTATGTGGAAATCATGGGTTTTGTTTTTGAGCGAATCAGCTGCACTGGTCCACCCCATGGTGGAGCCTACCGCCATAGCGGAGAGGCACACTGGAGAGATGAAAACTCTGTTAATGCAAATGTACGAACTGGCTAACCGAATAAATGAATCAAGACTCACCCGTCACAGCACCCAAATACTGGGTAGTCCTCTTCCCTTCCATGGTTTCTGGAGAGGAAGACCGTCCCAACAGGGGTGTTGTCTCCGAAGACTGCGAACAGAAGATAATGTATCAAGCCACATGTAAACAGCATATGCGATAGCAGCCCTGAAAAAGGACTAATGCCAGGAACATTTGTTTGATGTGCCGGAAAGATAAACAGACAGCAGTAACATTTTGAAAACCCAAAACAAATGATACATCAGTAGAGCTCCGGATTCCTACAGCCAATACGGGCCTTACCGGGCCTGCCATCGCTGAAATATCTTCCTCATAGTGGGAGTGGGAATGGGAGGCCCCTCGCCCCTTGCCAGCCAATGCCATTTTAGTCCACAAACTGGAGGACTCGACGGCGGATTGTCAATGACAGCAACGACACGTGGGATCAGCAAGGAGTTAGGGAGCGCTCATCTGTCCAAAGAGTCCAGGGTGGTCCAGGGAAGCACGCAAGCCACGGCGAGGGCCACGAGGGGCTGGACACGGGGCCACTGGTCAGCAAGTGAGTGATCAGATCAGCGATCAGCTGTTCTCCAGTCCCTGCCACCTGTCGCCCCCATCCCCCTTGCCCCTCGTCATTGTCATTTGTTGCTTCGGTTCGGTTTGTGTTCATGGCGAGTTCGCCGTGGTGCCGCTAGAGGGCGCGGGGCGCAGCGCTGGCAGCGCGGCAGCGCGCGGGGCCTTTCGAACAGCGGCGCGCGCCGTTTGTCCTGGTTTGTCCCGCGCGTGCCGGTCTACACCGAACGACAAAGACAAAGACCACTCGCAGGCATGTTCCCTGTCACGGACTACAAGCGACCGATCGGGCCGTCGACAGAAGGGCGCTTCCTTTCCAGTGCTGTGGAACAACCAGTGGGGAAGTCAGGGAAAGGAGCGGGCCGACGATACTCCGTGCGCCTCGCCGGCTTGGGGGCGTGGGGTATAGGCGGGGCTGAAGTCGCAGTGGAGCCGGAGTCCTCCGGCGACGTGAGTCCGTCCGGGTCCGGGTCCACCCGGTGGCGAGTGCCAAAGCAGGCACAGAAAGACACAGTGCGAGGTGATCGCATCGCCTCATCAAGTCGGACGACAGGCCGTCGAAACGCGTCGAAACGGGAACGGGGCCTGGCACTCGATCGGCACTCACTGCGTCACCACCACGGCGTCACGTGTCGTGTTGCGAGTCCCGGCCGGCAGACGGATTCCGAGAGTCGTTTTCGTCGCCCTGTCTCTCTCGCACCTACACGGGACGCCCCATGAGTGCGAGAGAGACAGAGCGACGAAAAGGACTCTCGGAATCCGTCTAGGCCCCGGCGTCCCGGCCGGGACTCACTCCCGCGCCGCGCGCCGCGCCATGGAACCCGCAAACCCGTCATATTCCTGTCCGACCGCACGGACCGCACCGGTCAAGTCCAAGGTCGAGTCAGCCCAGTCAGGCGGCCGGGACGGCCGGGACGGTCAACATGCCAATTATTAGCCCGGACAGTGCTTTCGTCGCTCTGTCTCTCTCGCACGCCTGGTCATTCCCTGGTGGTGCGAGAGAGACAGAGCGAGACGCTGCCGCTGGATAGGGAGGGACAGAGACACTCCGCACCTTCACCCGGAGATCGTTTGGTTCTCTCAGCCTATATCTCACATCTCACCCGGATTCTTTCGTTGCTTTGTTTTGAGTCGCGCGCGCCGTGCAACTAGTGGGCACCAGGACGCCGCGGCGCCGCGTTGCAAGAGAGAGAGAGAGAGAGAGAGAGAGAGAGAGAGAGAGAGAGAGAGAGAGAGAGAGAGAGAGAGAGAGAGAGAGACGGAGGGGCAGAGTGGACATCGTGCCCTGCATCACCCACCAGTACGTATAGAAGCATTGTGGTAGCATTCAGCCATGGTTCGGGCCGGACTTCCGGTCCGGTGGCCATTCCGCGTAGAGTTCCGAGTTTCAGATTTTACCTCTCCCCAGAAAAAACACAAAAACATAAAACTGCAAAATTTGTACGAGCAGTGCTGCTATTATTTTCTCTGCGGTTTGACGGCGGCGGCGTCCTGGCCAAGCCAGGGCCGAGCCTGGCCGACGGTCGGCGGACGAGCGGCGGACGAGCGGCGGCAGTGACATTCATGGGCGTCAAAGTGGGCCGTTACGAAAGGGCGCGGGGCGGGGCGCGGAGGGCGCGGAGCCATGGGCACCATGTGCCGCACAATACGCTATGGCCGTCAGGCCGTGTGTGCGAAGCGCACTCCCTGCACTGCGACCGGCAGACTGATTCCGAGAGTCGTTTTCGTCGCTCTGTCTCTCTCGCACTCACGGGGCGTCCCATAGGCTACAGCCCACCCACGCCCACCGCGCAGGGGGACACCCATTTCCAGGATCAGAATCGACGCACATCCGTCCAAGCCAGTCCTTAAGCCAAAAGGGATCCTTTCCAATCTTTTCCAAGCCCCCAGCATGGTCATGTTTGGTCATGTTCGTGCTGGGGTTCATGTAGGTCGTGGCGGTACCCCAGGGTGGACGCCCACTGAGAGCGAGCGAGACAGAGCGACGCATGTTGATCCTGCTGGTGATACGCCGTCGAGGCAATAATTGTGCTGAATCCGAGTGGCGGTGTGTCACCCTGTTTGCACGTCCTTCCCCTATCAGGACCAACCCCTTTCGTAAACAAGGCCGACCAACCGGCGGCGGGGGCCCAAGGGAAGAGGGTTGGCGCGCCGAGCGGCCCAACCTGCCCAGCCGCGCGGCCCGGCCGCCGACATTCCCACTGGAGGTAAACAAGGCAGTGTTTGTCCCGTTCCGGCCCGTTTGCCCCAATTTTTCAGCAACTGTTTGAGTTGGTTCGGAAGGGACTCACTCGACCTTCGCGCGGGGTGGGCGGGGAGGGGGAGAAGGGGAGGGGAGGGGAAGAGGGAGCGAGGCCGGCGGCCGCACAGGCGCCGTCGTTGTCGTCGCCGGGGTGGCGTTGTCGTGCCATGCCTGGCCTGGCCACGCCGTGCCGAGACACTTGTGATATTAGCATGAATCCCGGGTAGGCCAAGTCAAGGCCACGGTCTAATTCGATTCCGATACTGCCGACTTGAAGCATCCCGCCAGCTAAACTGTGTGAACCGGGCCGGCTATGAACTTGTCCCGTGCACTTGGCGCGCAGGCTGCGCGTTGCGCGTGGACGCCGCGCTGGTGACCGCTGCGCGCTTGCAGACTGATTCCGACAGTCCTTTTCGTCGCTCTGTCTCTCTCGCACTCATGGGGCGTGCCGTATAGGTGCGAGGGAGACAGAGCGACGAAAACGACTCTCGGAATCAGTCTGCAGCCAGCGGGTGGAAACTACTTTTCCGAAACGGCCGTGCAGACGTTTTGTTATCCGTTAACATCGGCCGAACCAAGCGAGCTAGGTAAAATCTGCTTACATTTTCGGAATCAGCACAAAATTTGACAGGGAATAGGGTACTTTATAGATGGCGAAACCAAAATGATTATAGTTATTTTAAACCCTAAAAACAAATGTGTTGCGAAATATGGCCCTGATCCCATGTCTCGCACTGTCGCGGTTTGCTCAAAATGACTGATTTGGAAACGTTAATGTGGGCGAACGGAGCGTCGTATCATAAATCCAAAAACAGATTTGGAATCCTCAAGACTTTTACCATGGTATAGGCTATATGCGCTCTTTTGGATTTTCAGATTTCATCCTGATAACAATCGGCGAATTTCAGTCGATTACGTGTTTACAACAAACATTTGCGTGGCTCAAGTACCGACCATTTTCGGGGATCGTTGCCGTAAGAAGGTGTGGCTATCTACTCCATCTATATAGCCTATACATTGGCAAATTTTTTGAGGATTCCAAATCTGGTTTCAGATTTGTGATACGACTCCCCGTTCGTTCACATTAACGTTTTCAAGATGGAAATGTTACTCGACGAGACATGGGATTTTTGGTCTTTTTGAAACATTTTTGTTTTTAGGCTTCAAAATAACCATGATAATTTTGGTTTCGCCATCTAGAAAGTGCCCTATTCCCTGTCAAATTTTGTGCTGATTCCGAAAATGTAAGCAGATTTTACCTAGCTTGCTTGGTTCGGCCGATGTTAACGGATAACAAAACGTCTGCACGCCCGTTTCGGAAAAGTAGTTTCCACCCGCTGCTGCAGCGTGCAGGAAGTGACCGGCAGCGGTGCAGGGCAGGCCGAGGGGCACGCAGTGTCCAGCGCGGCGTCGCGCGGAGCCATGTCGCATCGCAGCACCGCACGAACCGTGGCGTGCAGTGCTGTGCAGTGCAGCGAGGACCGCGTCGTACGGCGGGGCGTCTCTCTCTCTCTCTCTCTCTCTCTCTCTCTCTCTCTCTCTCTCTCTCTCTCTCTCTCTCTCTCTCTCTCTCTCTCTCTCTCTCTCTCTCTCTCTCTCTCTCTCGCACTCATGGGGCTCTCCGTACCGGTGCGAGAGAGACAGACCGACGGCCGCACTGCGCGGAATCAGTCTGGAGCGGTGCGTTGCGGTGCAGCTTCCGCCAGCTGGCTGCGCGACGACGTCACGACACTGCACTGCAGCGGCAGCGCGACGCCCATCGCCACCACGACACCGTTAAAAAGAGAGGGGCGGCCCGAGGTCTGCAAAGGGCTCGGAATAACAAAAAGTGTCCTCGCCAATTTCAAAACTTCCACCGCCGCCCCTGGGCCTATTCCATTCCGCCCCCCCACCGCCGGTGCGGCGGTGCGCCTTGCCGCCTTGCGCGTGGCCACCGCCGTGCCGGCGTCCGCGTTCATTGCGATGCGAGGGGCGTCGCGCCAGTGCGCGCTGTGCGCTGCCGAGCGATTCCGCGAAGAGCAGTTTCGTCGCTCTGTCTCTCTTCCACCCCTACGGGACGCCCCGCGAGTGCGAGAGAGACAGAGCGACGAGGGCACCCTTCCGATGCGAGTCCGCAGGCACGGCTGCGTGCCATCCGAAGCGGCGCCGGCACTTGTGTGCGGCGCTACTCCGGCGGGACGCGAACCCCGAACCTTGTGATCCGGAAGACTGTCACTTCTGGGCCATTAGCCAGCCCGCCTCGGCTTTGGCAGGCCCCGCCCGGCCTCGCCTGGTCCGCCTAGTCTCCGAGGCCGTGGCCGTGGCCGCGCAGGCCGTCAAACCGAGGTTTCGGGTTTCGACCCCGCGGATCCGGCGAGCCCGCGAGCAGCGAAGACGGGGATCAGCATAGGAACACCTGCCACTGCCTCGTCCCCCCCCCTCCCCTCCCGCCACCCGCACCTGGCGGCGGCACGCGCGATAGCCGGGATTTCGCGATACCGCGTTATCGGTGTGATAGTGTGATTGGTTCGACAAGGCGCCCTCTCTGTCGGCCCCGCCTCTCTGGCGGCCCGCCCCGCCCCGCCCCGCCCCGCCCCCTGTCCTGTTGTGGGCGTTAGTGGCATAACTTGGCCATAAATCGCTCAAAATGCAGGTGCGGGTCCAGGACGGGGTGGGGGGGACGGACAAGGGCGTTGCACTCCTGAAGGCGGCGGGACCGCCTGAAGGGTAGGCAAAAAGTTGCACTCTACTCCTGCAAGCAGGCAACCCTTTCGACACCACCCCTTCTGAACCCGTCATGGACTCCGCGCCTGAAAAATGATTCGGAAACAGTTGGTTGAAAAGAGTCGAGAACGGAGGCGGGCGGTTTTCGCGTGTGGCCGCGAAACACCAGCGCCGTTTGTCGCGTAGTCTGGGTGGCCGTCGGAGCCCAATGTGCTCGCGATTTCGACCCAAGGAAAAAGCAGCAGCAAGAAAGAAAAGAAAAAGAAGGGAGCGGGTACACTGGAATGCCGGTGGCGTGGCTGGCGGGAAGAGTTTGTGGTTTTCGCGCGCAAACTACGCAACATGCGACACTGCGCGCCGGACATGCTCTTTGAACGCTATGCGTCACAGTCCAAAACACAAGCAAAAAACAACAACAAACAACAAAGCTGTAAGCGATTTATTGTTTTTGTCTCCGATTCGAAATTACGTCCTGCAATGCTCTTTCAATTGAGTCTATTCTTTTTATTTTTCTCACGAAAGTCCTTGGGCTTGTTTTCAAAAGAGAAAAACACATTTTAATCAAAGAAAGCCGAGAAAGGCGCCCCCTCTATCTTATCAGCCGCAATTACTGCACCTTTAGTCTCCATGATGAGACTCAATCACTTCTCCAAGCCAGAAGCACTCCGTAAGACAACACAGAAAAAAAAGCGGCGGAAAAAATGGACGTCTTATCTGATTAGCCAGATTAAAAAAAGCCTTGTGAGATACACGAACCAGCACTTTGGCCGCCTATCTTCGGTTACATTAGGCAGGTGAGGTGACAGAAAATTCCAATCGCCAAACATTCCATTGACGATATGAATCAAGTCGCCTTATCAAGACATTTGCGATTTGAAGCAAACACCTCCCGGATTGTTGCCTAGCGCGCCTTCTCCGTTCTCCTCGACGACACACTCTTTGACTTGATCCTCGCCGCCGCGACGACCGCCGACTCTCACTACGCCGCGCCACGCATCGGCCTCATCTGCTCACAATACATCATCGGCGAGAACGACGCAAGGCGCTAATCGGCTTTACTTGCAGAGACGCGCTCTTGTGGCCTTTCCCGGAATGCGTCGCAAAAAGTGCAACGGAATGACCGTTTTCCGCTTTTCCAGGGCCAGGGTCAGAAGGCCGATGGGGGCGGCCGAAACGCTAGACGCGTTTTGAGCTCCAGAGTCGCTAAACAGGACTCTAACCGCACGTGTGACCCCACCAATGGATTCCTCGTTCGGAGAGCAATCCATTGGTGGGGTCACACGTTCGGTTCGAGTCCCATTTAGCGACTCTGGAGCTCAAAACGCGTCCGGGATTTTGGCCGCCTCCACCGGTCTTCTGGTCCACTGTGCATTGCCGGACTCTCGCTGACTCACTGATGGGCGTGGGCGTGCTGCACCGGCTGGCACTGCACTGCCCTCGGCCTTCGTGACAGGTCCATCGCGTGACTGCAGCGATCCACTCTAAATCGGCACAATATAAGGACAGCGCCGCCGCCTAGAGCGAGAGAGGCGTCCGGGAACGGACGAAGCGCACTTCGGACGCAGACGTCGTGTGTGAGTGTGTACAGCTCACGCGCGTACGGGCAAACACACTCACACAGACACACACACACACACACTGTTGGTGCCCCGGGGCCCGCGGGCATGCCGAAGCCAGCAGTACGCCCCGCCCCATTAGTGATTGCAGAGCAAGAGAGAAGATGATTTGTTTAGCGAGCGCGCAGGGCGCGGCGCGACGCAGACAAGCGACACGCACGCGTCAGCTGACACACGGCCTATAAGTGTCCGTCCGTCCCGTCCGCAGCTCGTACGTGTCGTGTCACATTGGACGCGCGACATGTCAATCGAGTCTGTTACTGGAGCGGCAGGGCGGCCAAGGAGCCGGCCTGGAAGGCCTGGAATGTCCAGTGGCGTGTCGCAGGAAATTGCGCGGGAAAGACAGACGGACCGGCCCGGCCGGCTTCGCAGCGCTTCGCGGTGAGTGTGCGCGCCTCCCACATGGAGGTCCCCTCGGTCCCACGCGCCAACACGACACCACCGCCGAGACGCCGAGCTTCGCCAGCTCCGGGTCCTCCGCCAATTACGCACGTGTCATGCGAGCATCACCGGCGCGGCGGTGGCGGCGGCGCCAGGGAATTCCAATCGCCTCCAAAACACGGAGCGGCTGCTGTCCGCGTGTCTCGGTGAGCAAAGAGCGGAGGCTCACAATGGCGCCCGCCGGGGTCGGGACTCGAACCCACGACCCACTGCCAAGCCTTCGGGCCTTCGGGGCGGTGCGAGGACCAAAGAGGGTATTCCCGCGCACTAGCACTCGGGACCCTCGGGACGTCTCAAGTCAATGTCACTGTGACAGTATCCGAGCAAGGGAACCCATTCACCAAGTTCAAAATCAAGTCAGGGGTGCCAACTCTGGCTCCAACATGCAGCCTTGGGTTGACTTCACACCCGTGACTTGGATGTAATGGTAGTCCACAGAGAAACCGTGACCTGGCCCGTTCCAAAACCGTTCCAAGTGCGCGCAGCTATTCAAGAAAACCCCACCAAAACAAACCAAACTGTCTACGAATCCAAGCCACATAGAAAGTGAAAGGTTTTTCCTATGAGCTTTCAGAAACGGGACTGTGGCATAGTGCCTGTCCGAAGGGGTGCCTGTCCCAGGGGCGCCTCCAGAGCCACCCCTGGGCAGCCCGGAGTACCCGAGTACCTACCCTGTCGTCGGCAGCGGGAGCAGGACTCGATGTCCTTTCGGTTCAGCGGCTGGCCGATGAATGTATGTCTGCAGGACTGGCGGCCGGGACCTCTGCGCGCCGACTGGCCCGACTGAACTTATCCGCGACTCCACGGTCGGCGCCGCGCCACGCCCCGTCCTGCCCCCTTCCCCCTCCCCCGCGGATGCGTCCTGCCCGTCGCGGCGCCGCGTGCGTGTGTGTGTGAGTGTGGTGTGACGTGCACGCGTACTAAATGGTGTGAGTGTGAGTGTGAGTGTGTGTGTCTGTGTGAGAGAGTGCGTTATGTCGGTGTATCCGTGTTTGTTTTCATGATTTTCTACGCTTCTGCGAATCCGACGCTTAGTCAATACAGTAGTATCTCCTTTGTGGTGCGTAATAATGATAAAGTGAGGTAGAAAAAAAGGGGGCGAGGCCAGTAATATTGAAAATGCATCACTCCAACTCAGTAAAACTCATTAAAAAAAAAAAACATTTGATAACTAAACGATATTTTGATCTAGCTATTTTATAAGTGCAAGCAAACTTGTGTCATGTGCCCAAAAAAAGCCGTTTCTTGAACCAAAATATATAGTTTATACTTCCACCAAGTGAATTTACTTCCACGACGTTTCAAGAAAATTTACTTGTTGCAAGTCAATTATCTTGGTTCATGAAACCATTGTTTAGGGTGTACTTGGTGCGGATCTTGCTCATTCACCGACCAATTAACTCATAGTGTTTAAGAGGTCAGCGAGGAAAATCAGCCCTAATCAAAGGACCACTCTGCCAACACTTCTCACGCTGTCCGCCTCGGTGGGTCATCATCGTAATCAATTCCACTTACTTTTCAGCTCGCCCAAATCACCTGTATCATCGCCTGGGCTGATATGGGCCTCCATCTGGGTTCCGATCCGTGCTGGGCTGTGCTGGGCTGTGTGCTGCAGCGCTAGTCAGTCCCGTCCCTCGCGCGTGTCGCGCGCCGTTGATGCTTTCCAGGGAATGAAAATGTGTTTCTGAGTGTCGCAGTGTCGCGCCACGTGAGTCTAGTGTGCCGTTGCTACAGCAGACTGATTCCCAGAGTCCTTTTCTGTCTCTCTCGCACTCACGCCCCCTAAAGGCGCGACAGAGACGCAGAGCGACGAAAACGACTCTCGGAATCAGTCTACAGTGCTTGAGTCCACGGAAGCGCTCGTGGCCCTTCAATGGGACGGCCTACGGGGCCTGCACAAGGTGCCCTTGAAGTGGACGACCATCTGCCCCTCAAAAAAAAAAACTTTGATGGAAATGTGATTAAATTGGGAGTTTTGAAGGTTGACATGGGTTTCATCATTGTGTCGACCCCCTGTGTAACAAGGCTCTGGAACAGCAGCAGGTTACCCATTTCTCTCTATCTCTTCAACCCTACTTATTGTTTGACACTCAGTTCTTGTTTGTTGTTGTTGTTGTTGTTGTTGTTGTTGTTGTTACGCACGCGTTTCAAGGACACGGCGAAAGGATCAAGGTGTATATCACCTAGTGACACAATCTGCTGTGTTTACTTGTTGCGATCATGGATTAGGGATTAGTGACGTAATCAAAATGCCTATCAGTACTAGGGATTTTTTTCTTTTAAGGACTTGCGGGCGCACATCGCCGCTTCAGCTCAGGTCCCCCGTCCTACAACCCCGGACCGTTTGCAAATCCCATTTGCCTATCACTGTTTCGCAAGAATGTGAAACGCCGTCGACGTGCATGTGCTGAGGTCGTTATGATGTAGATGTTGGAAAGTAAAAACACTTTGGCCGCGTAGGTGCGGGCTGATTCCGAGAGTCGTTTTCGTCGCTCTGTTTCTCTCGCACTCATGGGGCCTCCCGTATAGGTGTGTGAGAGAGACAGAGCGACGAAAGCGGCTCTCGGAATCAGCCTGCTGTGTTTGGACGGGGAGCCTTTTGTTGACCTGTTGGCGTTGGCGCGGCTCTGCACCTAGTTGATGGCGGACACGAGGTTCGCCTCGCGGCTACTACCTATAAAGAGTGTCTGCCGGGGCAGACAATACGAGCGCGTCGAGGCGTGCCGTGCCGTGGCGTGCCAAGCCGTGCCGTGCCAAGCCGCACCGTGCGCGGGCGTCACGGGCACGGGGACGCGCTGCTACATTCCCGCCATTTTTCCGAAGCGCGCGCGCCGAGCACGTGCTTCGGGGGTTGCGTTCGGCAACCTCTCCTCGTCCTTGTTCCACCCCCACACCGACCACACCGACTGCGAGAGCGACAGAGACGGAAGTCGCGAGGCCGGCGTCTTTGGCGCCGGCGGCCACTCAAATCGCGCGTGGAGTGTTTGTGTATTGGCCGCCGGGGCGTTCCTGCGGACTGATTCCGAGAGTTGCTTTCGTCGCTCTGTCTCTCTCGCACTCGCGGAGCGTCCCGTATAGGTGCGAGAGAGACAGAGCTACGAAAAAGACTCGGAATCAGTCGGCTGTTAAACGCCAGCCCCGCACGTCGAACAGTCTTCCCTATGCTTCGGACCACGGATTCCGCGCTCGAACGCGAAATCGGCCGGCGCTTTAAAAATAGGCCCCGCGGTCCGCGGTACTATGCGGCTGCTGGCGGGCCGGGCGGGGCAACCTCCGCAGACTGATTCCGAGAGTCGCGTTCGTCGCTCTGCCTCTCTCGCACTCACGGCGTGTGCTGTCTAGGTGCGAGAGAGACAGCGCCACGAAAACGACTCTCGGAATCAGTCTGCTGCCTGGCGTGGTCCTTCGAAAATAAAGTCCAACGGGGCACTTTAGTGCTCCGTACTGAAAGCTCGGAGGGGGCGCGGGCGGAGGGTGGGGGCATCGTGGCCTTGGGGTTCGCACTAGAACACTCGAACGCCGTACAGCAAGTGGGGCGAGGCACCGGGGTGCCAGCTCCGCCAGCGCCGCCAGCACACTACACTGGCCACTGGCCCCGCCCGGTGATCGGCGGGAGGCTTGCGGGCGGCTTGCTATTTTCAGAGGGTTTTGTACTTTATCGGCAAGCCGGCGTGGCCGGCGTGGCCGGCGTGCGTGGGAGTGGAAGGGGTTCGCCAAATGACCGCTATCTTCTCGGCCAATCCGACGGAGCCGTCGAAAGCGACAACAATGACCGCCTGCAGACTGACTCCGAGAGTTGTTTTGGTCGCTCTGTCTCTCTCGCACTGATGGGGCGTCTCCTGTAGGTGCGAGAGAGACAGAGCGGCGAAAACGACTCTTGGAATCAGTCTGCAGATCGACCCTCGGGCCTCGGCCGGCCATCGGGGCGCTCATCGGCCGGCCTGGCCTGTTCATGTCCACGTCCACGCTCTTGGCGCGTCGCCTCGTCAAGCACACTGGCAGACGGAATCTCTGGCCAAAGCCCTGAATGGACGGCATGGACGCGGCCCGGACGGACAGCCACACCATCGCGACCATCGCGTCGGCGCTTCAGAAGATGACCGATTCCGCACGTCGCTCCGTCTCTCTCGCATCTATGCGTCCGTGGCCGCGAGCGCGAGGAAGACGCGACGCGCGACGACAGAGACGTGTCGATGTGGAGTGGGACAGTCCGAGTCTGCAGACTGACGCCGAGTCGTCTCTCTGTCACTCTCGCACTCATGGGGCGTCCCTGCAGGCGCGAGAGAGACAGAGCGACGAAAACGGACTCTCGGAATCAGTGTGCTGCCTTCAGCCGGCTTCAGCCTCCGCGACAAGGACCCCCAGGCGTGGTGGACGGCATGGTGGCGTGCGTGACGTCAGCGGCGAGGCGCGCCAGTTCGCTCTTATTACTGCGATGGCTCTGCTTTGCTCTGCTCCGCTTCCGCCGTGTAGAGCGCCCCGCGACGCCCCGCGTGGGGCCGCGTGGGGGCAGCACAGCGCTCATAATGAGGTGAATCATGGCGGGCAGTTTGAGGCGACGCGCGACAGGTGAGGACGCCACTGTCGCCTGCCTTTTCGGCGCTAACGTCAACACTGCGGTGGGGGGACAGACCGGACAGACCGTCCGAAAGGCATTCGCAGAGCCTCACAAGAGCAAGAGCGTCAAGAGGGAGGGGCACGGCGCACTCACAACGCCACACACACAGAGTCTCTCTCTCTTTCTTTTTCTCTCTCTCTCTCTCTCTCTTCTCTCTCTCTCTCTCTCTCTCTCTCTCTCCCTCCCCCCTCTTTTCTCTCTCCCCTCCCTCCCCCCTCTCTCTCTCTCTCTCTCTCTCTCTCTCTCTCTCTCTCTCTCCCTCCCCCCCCCCCCTCTCTCTCTCTCTCCCTCCCTCCCCCCCCTCTCCCCTCTCTCTCTCTCTCCCTCCCCTCTCTCTCTCTCTCTCTCTCGCACACACAAAATTATGATTAACCGGAAAAGCCGCGGAAACGGGGAGGGGGGATCCAATAACCGCGTTCAGCTTTTACGACCGAACGAAAGGGCCGAAAGGTATTCGGGGCGACAATCATGACGGAGGCGTCCTCCAGGATCGCCCAGTTCATGTTGTTTGTCGCGATGATCCGTGTATCCAAAAACATGCGCGGTGTCGCGCGAGTAGAAATCGCGTGGAAACTGAATTTTCCGATTAAATGCACGCTTGGAAAGAAAGAGGCGGCTGCTACAAGTACCGTAGGAGCC